GTGTGTTGAGGGAAGGTAAGCATTGCGTATTACCCATGCACAGGTCAAAGGACAGCTTGTGAATTTGTGGGAGTCGGCTTTCCTTCCAGCCTGTGGGTTTCTGGGATAGAGCTCAGGTTTTGAGGCTTCGTGGCAAACACCGTTGCCTGCTGTGCTGTATCACTAACCCATAATCTTCAGGAAAGAGAAAGCAGACTCTAGAAGGCACTCTCTCCCACTGCCACACAGCCCAACATAAAGAGTTTTGACAAGGGTTTCATTCCCATGCCATATACATTTCTTTACCTAGATTTTATTGAATCTTCATCACAACCAAATGAAGCAAGGTGTTAGGAGTAGTGCCCCATTTTACAGATGCCAAAACAGAGACAGAGAGAGGGTAGGCAAGTAGGCTGGACTGGGAGCCATGACTGTGTTCACTCCCCACTGCCAGAGTTGGTGACAGCGATGTAAGACAGGGAAACAATGGGCAGAATGTGCAACACATTCCTCCCCTGGAAGATGGCATTTTCTTTGCAGAAAGAACTTAAGAAACAGCAAAGTCAGATTGTAGAGCCAACTTTTTTTTTCTGCTATGAAGGAGGAGGACTGGAGTTAATTCACACCACATTTCGTTTATGATGCTTACCCCTAACTTTCCTATTTGGAAAATGTCTGTGTTATGATTCTCCTTACCCTAGTGCAGAGCTCAAACCCAAACTTTCCTGCAGGGGTAGGAGGTGGGTACAGGACCCACTCACGTCCCTGATAATCACACACTTTCTGAGATCCAAGTCATGCCTTTACAAGAGAGCCCAGAACAAACGGGTTTTGTATAGAATTTATTTTTCCCCCGCTCTATTTCCCCCCACGCCCCTACTTCGTTTTTTTTTTTTTTTTTTTTTTAATGAAGTAGGCCTTCCTATGTAGCCTAGGCTGGCCTAGAACTTGCTTTATAAGTGGAGCCTAGCTCAGCTTCCTCTGTATTGGCATCAAAATCCTGCACTACACTCCGGCCTCCCTGTGGATATTTCATCTTTGTTTCAGTCTGTAGAAGTAGCCAGACTGCTGGCAGAGGCCACCCTGGGGCAGACCCTGTAATGGGATATCTGGTTCATTCCCCACCAGCCGTTACTGGTGCCACGTCAAGTTCCTGATGGTGCAGGACATTGCTACTGGGATCCTTGCCTGGCGATGCCCATCACCCCAAACTTCTGTGGACTAGTTAATATCTTTTTGGAAAATAAAACTAAAAATACCCCCTCTTGATAAGTAAGAACAGACTGAAAGCCAGGTGTGATGTTGCAAGCCTGTAATCCCAGCACTCAGGAAGCTGAGGTTGGAGGATTACCAAACGTTGGAGGCCAGCCTAGGTTGCATAGTGAGATTGTTATCATAAAACATCAAAAACTTTTTTTTTTTTTTTTAAAGTGACATATAAGAAAGAAAAATCTACCTTTGGTCAAACTAGCTACCTTCTATATCCTGAAAATAAGCCAGTGCCTGCTTCAGGGTCATCAAGTTCAGCCCATAGGAAGTCTTAGCCATTCCAGAATATTATTACCCTATAAGCACTCTGAGAGAGAATTTGAGTGACTCCTTCCATATCCTAGATACCATAGTACCAGAAAACCAAGTTCTGCATTTCTCAGGGGGCTCCTAATGTCCCTGGAGTAGTAGCTTTTGATTGTTAAATTTTTAGGCATTTCTACAGGTCCATTAACATTGTTAGTAATTTAAAATCAACTGTGCTTGGAATATTTATATCCCAGAAATGAGTGAATGCTACACATCAGGACTCGTCTCCCAGCTCATTGCTAAACACCTACCTCCACATCACTATCCTGACATTGTCTTATTTAGTGCTTCTTGCTATACATTCTAGTCCAGAAGCAG